CCGGTTCTCTAATCTCATCGTGTTACGCAACATGAAATCGGATAGTAATGTTCTCGCAATGAACTTGGAGTAAACAATTCTGTTGGCCATAATTCAGAAATATATGTACAGAAAGAACGATGTTGTTAAAATATCTAAAAACTTAGCTAGATACAAATCCGAAAATAATTTCGTTGGACTATCAAAATAATTAGGCAGAACACTTGAACATTGATGACGTTGCTGTAAAAAGTGTTAACATAAGCAATCAATTTGAACAATATTCATCTATTATTTTATACAATAAAAATTTAAATAGATAAGCGATAAAATGTAATATAGTTTTAAATTTATATAATCAAAACTCTTCCAAAATGTAATTTTCTTTTTCTACGGAAAATCGGCTGTCTTCTTGTAGAGCAAGGTGATTCTTGAGGGATATTGTTTATGAAAGAATGTAGTGCAAAAGATTAGAAACGCAAGGCGAAACAGCTGTTTTAAATAAGGCCCCCTGATAGCGGATCCTCGCGGGTGCAATTAAATGGTGGATTTACGATATTGTGTTTGAGGACAGTATCCTCTCCCCTTTTAGAGTTCACACGGGGGTATTAAATAACGATTTTTACATCCGATAATCCCAGAGGAGAATCGCCACGGACTCGAAAAGCAATGAAGAAGAACTTTAAGAGTTGTTCAATCCTCAGGGACGATCATGATTTTTGCATTAAAGTCGATTGCTCGAGGAATTTGAAAGTTATATTAAAAAGTTCCCATAAAATATCGTGATTAGATTAAAAATTATATCGCGAAAAGTTTAAATAAAATATCGAGTTAATGTAACAATATAAATATAGTAGAGAGCGCCTAGGATCGGTCAAAGTTAATTGTTTCAAATAATATAATATTCTTGGTTCACGAATTTAATTTATCTCAAATGTGACTGTGCGTCGAAACGTTCGGACATTTAAATACAATCAATGATTAGAGTATCTCAGATTGACTGTGTACAGTCCCATTTGAGATAAATTAAATTCATGAACTAAGAATAATATATTATTCGAAACGTGTAAGTTTGATCGATTCTAAGCGTTCTCTATTATACTTATATTGTTTAAATAAAATATCTAATTTATGACCTAATCCGACACAATAAACAAATTAATTCTCCAATTTTTTAAAACTATCTTTTTTTTTAAAAAAAGATTTATTTTTCGCTTTTATACATTCTCTTTTAATACATTCTCTAAAATTTAGATTCGTGGTAATTTTACTCGCAATGACTTGAATAATTATGCTGATTAAGGGATAAATTAGCTTAGTATTAAATTCTTTTCTTTTCCAACTATCATCGAAAGCGATGAGAAATCATTTCACGGAATGATTAATCGATTGAGAAGGTCAGTAACACGGGTTAACACACTGATTTCCGGTAATGGACGCACTCAGGCGTTAATTTCGAATGACCATCTCAGGATCGTACCGTTAGCATCTCCTTTATCGCAAACAACTTGACTTCCTACCACGTGCCGGGAATTACTTAAGTCACGAGTAAGTTAATATACCGTAAAGGTTGAATCGCGAGATATCAATCTGCTCGGGGGCGAAGGAACGATCCTATACAGGAATTATAGGATCCCTGAAATCGTGGAGCTTTTTACTTCGAACTATCGACTTTATCGCGAAGACTTTATTTTTGAAGAATTTATTTCCAGAGTCACGTAAATTCATGCTTTCAAAAAACGGAAATTACGTGTCGCGGTATTGAAAGGTTCTTCATCATTCATCATTGTCATTTTTTTTTTTAAATACGGACTCTGAGAAGGGTTTGAAAAAAAAAATCAACCCATTCCTTTGTTTATGGAACACTCTATGTAACTCTAACGCGCGTACTTGTTGCGGCAAAGTGTTTTGTAGTCCGACGATTTCCAGTCGGCTAACCGGTGAGGGAATTTATCGGTACCGGAAAATAAATACGGCATTAATCTGCTGTAATTGCGCAACGGGAGAGTATCAGCAGTGCTAATTTACGAACCTTATTACAGACTTGAGAGCCGAGCTGAGCTGGCTCTCCGAACGGAAGATTCGGGATTTACACTCTCTTAACACTGATGAATGTTCTAATTGTGTACTGATAACTTGATATTGAAGCACATACTCGCTTCGTTTCACCTTAATCACCCTTGCAATTAATAACGAAGGGAGAGATTGTGAATCGAGCTGTGAAAGACGATGAGCTTCCGCAATTTCACGTACATGAAGTTCTTTTGTGTATGTGTATGTATGTGTGAAGTTCTTTTAATTATATTTGAATACATAATTAAATTATTGTTGAACTATATATGAAAAATCATCACAAAAAAGAAAAAAAAACAAAAAATACAAATAGGAAAACAAAGATGCAAAAAGAAATAGATTATAGAAAGAAAAGAAATCTTTGCTTCAAAGTGACATAATTTCAAAAATTAAATTTCTTAGAAAAGAAGAAAAATTATTTTTCAACTTGACAGAAAAATATTGGTTAATCAAATATCGACAAAAGGAATATGTTCTAGCAAATTCGATTGGATGCATCTGATATGCACTGGTACATATTAAAACTGGCATACAAATTGACTTAAAAATATGTGTTTAATACAAATATAGAAACATTAGGGCCATAGAAACGGATAAGTTTCTATATTTATAAATGCTGAAATAACAGTTGTTTAAGTAGTCATATATTATACATGTATTTATTTATTCAAGCAGAGATAATAGCACATTTTTTTATAGAAACATTTCTTCACAAATTATTTAAAAGCAAACTATTATTTATCTAACGTCGCTAAAGAAACGTGCTGTTATATCGATGCTACTTCGCAATAGCTATTGGTTGGATGATTGGATCATTAATAATCCAACCTAACCTGAAACTACCACACACAGATCGATGTGTTATTTCGAGTCACTCAAGTTCAGAAAAAACAGGATTTATTGAAGAAGAAGCAGAAGTACGATTACGACGTCAGGATGTCCGGATATACCGGTCAGGATAACAATTATTGGGCCCCGCCACCGATGCCACAGGGCCAGTTTAACTTTGATGCGTCCGGTTTTGGGCAACCTAACCAACAATTTGAATTTCAAACATACGAGCAGATGCCCGGCGATTATTCGTACGGGCAAAAGAGTTTCCTGGATCCTACACAGAGTCCCTACGGTGGTGATTTGTTCACGCAAGACGATTATGCGAAAGGTAAAGAAAGAGATTGAAACGGCGCGCCCGCAATCATCTTAATTCTCGAGCTGACAGAATTAATATCAACGCGTACGTGGCATATGACATATTCATAAATTGGAAAGTAAATAGTTTACGACATGGAAATCGCCTGAATATAATTTAAAGGACATTTATGAAAATTCGTTATCATCCAATCAGAACGAACAGCGTTATATTTGATGTATCAAGACATCCGCTCGAGAATTGAGATGTTAGTTGTTGTATGAGAAACCTTGAAGAACATTCATGATATTCTTTCAGGCACCACTGGTTTCGGAGAGGAAGAAGATGAGCCACCTCTGCTGGAAGAGCTCGGTATTGATCCTGATCGGATAATACAAAAGACTTTGGCTGTGTTGAATCCCTTTCATAGGAAGGGACAGATCGATGACGCAAGTTATTTGCTGCAAGATTCAGATTTGGCGGGACCTGTGGTATTTTGCTTAGTCCTTGCAGCATTTCTTCTGTTAGCTGGTTCAAAGGCACACTTTGGCTATGTATATGGATTGGCCATGACTTCCTGTATACTCATGTATATTCTACAATCTCTAATGAGTAACAGCAGTAACATCACCATGTTATCTGTTGCGTCTGTACTAGGATATTGTTTGTTGCCCGTGGTCGTTTTGGCAGGCTTTGGTGTTTTCACTACATTGCGAGGCCCGATGGGATTGATTCTCGCAATTCTGGCTGTTGCTTGGGCATCACTTTCTGCTTCTAGACTTTTTTCCACTATGTCGGGAGAAGAAGACCAGAAACTTCTTATAGCTTATCCGTGTCTACTTCTTTATGGCGTATTTACATTGATAATTATATTTTGAGGAAGGGATCGAATATGTATATAACTTTTATCCTTGATCAAACAAATTTCTCAGATCTAAACAAGAATTTTTTGTTTTCACACATATTAGTGCCAACGATTATATACGATGAAGCAATATTTATATTTTTTTGCACATTTAGTAACATGATAATCTATATTATCAATAATGCTATAGAATAATATACAGTTAATTAGTTTTCTGGCATCTTTAATAATTTTCTAGATTATTTTAATAAGCATATTTTGTCACATACGCTTATTTTAAGAGTAACATGTGAGCATATATTATATTTAGTGCTAAAATTATTAGATTAAGCCATTTGTTACTATTTCTAAATAAAGTTTGTGATATTAATTTGTGTTGTCCTTATCAAATATTGTTAGCATGTAGACTGTAAATCTAATTTAGTTGTACGGTATTATTAAACACTAAATAATTTACGAAGTCGATATTTCTTCATTTTTAAAAATACAATTTTTTGTATATATATTTCCACTTAAAAATTTTAATTTTTATAGTTAGGATTTATTTTAAGTTGCTCTTGATTAAAAATGTATTTCTCAATATACATGTAAAAATTTGTAATAATAAATAATCTGGCTGCATAACACTTAAATAACTTTAAAATAAATTAAAAGCAGTATAGTCATAAGAATTAATAATCATTCAATATCAAAATCACATTCAAGATCAAAAATATTTGATTTTTCGATATATCAATAAGATTCTGTAATGAATTACGCTGATAGCACAATATATTTTTGTAATGTTATTCTAAATATTATTGCAAATAAAATTATCCAAATACAATATGAATTGTTGTTTTTTTTATTTTCCTGTCAGTTCTTTTTCCTCTTAAATTTCTACTTGAAAAGTTTAGACTCCTAGAAAATGGTACGATCGTCTGAATGCGCTCACTTGATCTTTTTTTTTTGTAGGTGTTCCATCTGACCCGGCACAGGTGCAACAACCAATTTTAGTTTGTACGGCGCACATTCATTGGGATCCCGAGTTCTGCGATGTAAAACTAATACAGACGATGATGCTAAGCAATGAATTACGTTCCATTTTGGACCAAGCTGGCCAGTCTTTCAGACCCGGCCACAAGCCTGATTCTTCCAACGTTCAACTGTTGCTTTGTGGCGACTTCAATTCTTTACCTGATTCTGGTAACGCATGTATTAATGATCTCATTTAAATTTTTCTTTAAATTATCTATTTTGTTATGTATTGTAATGATCACTAATATGTGTATGTTAACTGGTAAAAACGAAACTAATAGTAGTAAATCACTGACGCAGGTGTGATCGAGTTTCTTACATCCGGACGCGTGGCGGCCGATCATCGTGATTTTAAGGATTTAGCATATAAATCGTGTTTACAAAAGATCTCTGGCTGCGATAAACCCAACGAATTCACGCATTCTTTCAAGCTTGCATCCGCCTATAGCGAGGACATTATGCCCTACACCAACTACACGTAAGGATACTTATTTCTTTGCGCAATATTTTATACAAGTATAATGTGTATAATACATAAATATCTAATGCGTTTGTTTTGCTCTTGCAGATTTGAATTTAAAGGCATAATAGATTACATTTTCTATTCGAAACAAAGTATGGTGCCGCTGGGTCTCCTAGGTCCATTGAGCCCAGAATGGTTTAAAGAGCATAAAGTGGTAGGATGTCCTCATCCTCATGTTCCATCGGGTGAGTTTCGTCTTATGTTTCACATCATTGCTTATATTCCGCTAAGGATGGCACTGACGTTTTGTTGTTTTATTTTAGATCACTTTCCTCTGTTAGTGGAGTTAGAGATGACACCGACAGTAGGAACAAGCAACGGTTTGATCTCACGCAGGTAGCAGCCGCTGCGATCTAGGCCCAAGTAACCGTAAGAAGACGAAAAATCAATAACGAAAATAAAAAGGGGGGGAAAAAAAGGATTTGCATCACTTCTTCTCTACTTCTGGCTCTAGCAATATCACTCGCATTACTCTTACTATAATAGCGAATGTTACACACAAATACTCCATTGCCGCACATTCAATCAACAGCGATCGCTGTCGACGGGATACCGACGAACACAATTCTAACGACCAGGTGAAGGGAGCCGTGTTGTAATGCGTTTAGCTAGCCCATGTATAGTGTATTGCATTTTTAAGAACTATCTTACTCCCATGCCTAAAGATTATTGTAACCTCTCTATTTACCATCGTAATATGTGTAGATACCTATTTTCCTACAAAAAAATAATGAAAATGAAAACGACGATATTCCGATCAAGAAGCCTCTGTGATATCGACATTTAACACAATTGGAAACACATTTACACATTTATTAGTAAACTAGTAGTGGTATACTAGAGAGAGAGAGAGAGAGAGAGAGAGAGAGAAAGTGAGAAAGAGAGAGAGAGAGACACATACCTTAAAGGGAATCTCCCTTCGCCCCTTCCTAAATGTCATTACAACATTCTCCAAGCCAACCTTTTGATAAGAATGCTGCCATCCACACAATGAGAAAAAAAAAGAAAAAAATTGTATTTTTAAATGAAACGAAAACAAAAAAAGATGTGAAATACATGCTATACTGGGCTGTGCGAAGTGATTGGAGTGATCGACTTAAAACAATTTCAATGCAAGTACAAATCTGTTCTTATTGGCCACGTATATATTGATATAATATGGTAATGTTATATAAGGAGAACAAGAAAACATATATAGATGATAATATAGCGGGTGTATTTGTAAGTATAATATAATGTAATGATGTTCATCACACACGTCTGTCATAACATCAAGTGAGATCAGTTCAACATTCGCCCCGCACTTTAGGTATCCATTTGAGTCCGATTAATGTATATGTGCTCTGTATCATAATCTACTACTTGTTAATTCAGTTGCCACCGAGGAACACGAGATAATTTTTTTTTATATATAATCACGCGCGAACGTCTTCGCGTTCTTTCCACCACTGCATTTCTATTTGCATGATATCTTGCTTATCTTTAGTCGCAGCTACCAAAAAAAAGAATATGTAGGCTCTAATTATTTTAGTTATCGTAGAAAATATCTTATTAGACAGTTTTTAACAATATTATAAAATAGGCAATATTTTGAATACATAATTACAGTGCAAATGTACTTGCACGTTAAATATCTATTTCCGGATTTACCTCATTTGCAATTTTTATTTTTCATTAATTTATTTAATGCAAATGATAATGAAAACGTGCAATCTGTATTTACAACACTTTACACAGATATACACTGATTCGCTAAAAGTTTTATCGAAATAAGGAAGATTTTTTTATATTGCTGTATTTATATAACCTATTCTTTAATTTTATCTCCTGCAGCAATAGTTAATTTCTAGGTATTAGGCATGTAGATATAATTTTTCTCATGTATGTGTTGTAAATATGACGATGGGATTTTGCAATTAATTACACAGCTTATTCTTTTCTTTGAAGAATACATAATTTGTAATAATTTAATATATGCATATATTGATATATTCTGTAATATTGTGTTACAGAATTCAATATCGTGCATTGTATATTATTTCATAATTTTGTTTTTCAAAATTGTTCATTAAGATGCAAACATATTTAAATTTTTCGTATATCAATTGTACATGTGTGCAGATCTCATGAAATATTTTTTAAGTTTCTATAATGTGCGATAAACAATGTAATTATAGTCGCATTGATTCAAGCAGGATAACAATTTACCAATGTGAACGACATTGAACACGATCAGAAAGATCACATAAGTTCACGGCACAAATTATTATTAGGACCCGGACGTTCGTGTATGATGGAGTGCGCGCGGAAAACTGTTGCGCAAACAAGTTGCGCAAATCGTGTTTGCTAATGTGAGATACAACAACATTTCGACTTGCACAGCTTATTCAAAAATAAACAAAGTGCGTGGTTCTCCGCACGAATATTCGGGCCCTAATTATTATTCGTAAATATTTTATGAATATTGTAGTATAGTAAATTGATCTCGTTACACGGCACAATCGACGACTAAGAACATAATAAATTTTCCATTTGAAAGAGTGAAGTTTTTTAGTTTATGCGTTAATTCGGGATTCCAACAACTGAATTATACAAGTAAAAGATTAGTTTATCAAAGACATGTGTGTAGTAAATGTTGTATAAAGTAGATAATTACGCTATAGTTTATAATTATCTCGATGAGAGAAAAGAGGCGGCATCTCTTTGGTATTTGTATATTTCTTCGTATTAAGCATGTGTTTTCACATGGTAAGCGAATGACGTGATGTATTAAAATCCATTGCCGGCTGCTCTGGGCCTAATTTTAAATCATCGGAACAAAGACGAATAGGTGAGATGGCGGATTTTTCTCCGATAATAACGATGAAAATATCTGGAAAAATCTTATAATTTGTGCTATCTTATAAAAAGAAAAACGAACAAATATGATAATGATCATTTTTAACTCGCTCCTCTTTTAATATTATGATGTATCACGTAGCAAAAGAAAATTAGTACAATTCGTAATGTCTCTTAACTAATATATCGAATGTGGAAATGTATTTTGCAGCATGAAAGTACCTATGTTTTCTTTGCGATAAATGAAAAATCTTTTATGGCGAATTTGATGATCACTAATGCACGAAAATTCTTCGGATTAGAAACAAATTGCGATTTCTTTGAAAAAAAATTTATTACCCCAACAGTTACAGGATACAACGTGAGAAGTAACGCGAAAAATCATAATTTTATCAGCAGTATTTGAGATTGCATGGGTATTTTCATCGCTTCGTCCGTAAAGATCATTCTGTAATTGTCTCCTAATCTATTCTAGCAAAGAAAAAAGAAAACAGAAAAAAACAGTGGTGTATACGTTGTATCGATTCACTATTCTATTCTTTTTAAATACGTGAATACGCGCAGTTTGCGTTTTAGGGTAAATGTAACGATTAATTGTAATGCGAATGGGAAAACAAGCGCCGGGGACTTTGTTCGATCAGTCCGATGTCTCCGACGTATAATAAAAAATCTTTTACGTAAAAAGAAAAGGAAGAAGAGGAAGATGATGAGGAACAGGAAAAACGTGCGGTTACGGCATATATACAGCGGCACATACTTTTGCTTTGTGAATAGGGAAGAGCGAAGCAAGTCGGGTAACACACAAACACACGTGCTCTCATGCATTTTTGGCTGTCGCGCGAAGCCGCCTACGCCATAGTATTTCAGATATATTAGCTTTGGAATAACGGAAGCTCTCAAGAAGATTAATGATTCAGATAATATACTTTAACTTAAGTAACACGAACACTCGCGTAGCATTCGTCGAACGCGATGATTTTACAGAACGACGATTCTTAGCCGATCCTCTGAAATTAACATTTAATAACATCATAAGGAGAAACTGAAGAACTCGATTTCTTTTTTCGTGAAAAAAAAATCTCGCGACAAGTACAGTATATTTAATACATACAGTACATTTAATACATACAGTACATTTAATACATACAGTATACATACAGTACAACATTTAATACATACAGTACAATTGATTTGTACTTGAATGAGAAGGACGTCTATCTATAAAAATATGTAGATAGTAAATCTAATTCTTTACACGATGTTGTAATTATGTTTACCAGGGATATTTAATTATATTTATCAGCTATCATCTTTCCAGAATCGATCATCGAAACTAATGTATCTGTAATCAACTGAGTTTATTGAATCCATCATTGTGGAATTCATGTTTTACAGATATAATAATATCGTGCTACTTCGCTTTCTGAAATCATCGCCTTCTCAGAACGTTAATTGTTCAATATGAAGAATAATTTTATCACGCACGATCGACACGCGAAAATCATTGCGAAAAATGGAACATTTAACTATGAATTTGAATCGCGAGAAAAATTTTACGCTATAACATTATCTTATAATTAGGATAACGTGTTCTCTTGTTTCTTCTGCAAGATATATATAGCAACACTTTAAAGGAATTATCCGTATGTACTGTAACGAAGGTTTGATGAATCCTGATTGAATTTAGTTTTCTTCTCTCTCCAACACGATCAATGTGTGTCAATCAAATTGTACATATGTTTTTATTAACGTCATTCGCGAAAATTTTGTAGAATTTCGTGAGCGTAATACTAATGATCCCGATGACAAAGCTCTAGGATATACTGGAATAATGCGTGACATAATGCGCGTATTATATAAAGTAGACGTAATAGATCTATATATCTCAGAATAAAGTTGATAGTAATGGCAATTGAATTGTAAAATATCACAGCACGTTCGATTTATTTTTATATTTTCAAATAATTAAATAATTAGAAGATTAACGTAACAACATTTTTAATTGCTTTCCGTATAAATTAAATACAATTTGTTAATGTTGTTTTAAATCATAAAATTTACCCAACATTTTGCAATAGTAAATTGATATTTCGTTTTAATAATTTCAATATCACTGAAATTAAATTTGTTCATAAATAATATATCATTTTGTTTTTTTGATAAAATTGATAATAGATGACGTCACTAGCGAGGAGTAAGATATTTATCTCTAAGCTTGACAATAAATGGATATAATTGTAATAGACTATCTTTTTATCATTTAACAGATCTTTCAATAAAAAATTTATAGTGCTCTTAATAGTGTCGGCAATAGACTGCTAGCTTACGTCATTTTATTATTTTATTAAAACGTTACTTCAAATATTATTTATCACATAAGAAACACTTGTACTGTTCTATTTACTCTCTATTTTTATTTGCAAAAGGTACACGGAATTGTGATTTGTGTAGTCGTATATAATCTCGTAAAAGACAGTAATTATATCCTCTCATCAATATTTTAACAGTATCAAAAATTTCCATTCCATTCTGCAAAAAGAAAACAAGGTGCCAATCTCGGGAATATAATGCATTTTGAGACACTGTATTTTCGGAAATTGCAATGGCGCATTTGCGAAGACACACGATAAAGTAGCTTTATAGTATTATATTACATTTAAACTTTAAGAATCCAGATTCGATGAAACTGTCGATTTGACTTAGTATTATTGCTGATATTCAAAATATTGAGCGAACAAGCGATTAATAAGGATTCATCAAACTCAGTAGCGTAACATAATAGTAACGTAATCTTTATCTATACATTATTAAAAAAAGCCGTTAAATTGTTTTAAATCAAGCTAGTGAGGGAAAACACCATTTAAGCTTCTAAAAAAATCTCAAATAATACATTACATGTTTCTCTGAATACATTAATTTTCAATATTCTGAGCTTCTATAGTAACGCGTTCAAATCTTAATTCTCTCTTTTTTAGATATTACTTAATATTAAGTAGGTATTTTTACTTGAATCGATAAGTATAATGATTTTTTTCAAAGTCTTGTACAATGTGAACGCTGTGTTCTATTGCTTTTGGAGTGTTTACCTATACTTTCGATATAATTAGGATTAGTGCCCGCGATTTTCTTCATACACGGGCACATTACGTATAACGACTTATAAGAATATATATAAATACATAAAAAGAGACGCTGTACGCGTAATTTGACATAGAATAATACGTAATTGTCGATCTCATAAATTCAATAGTTTTTGCTAACATTTATCAAAATCAGTATCCCAAATAAATTCTTATATCTTTATTTTTAATTTCCGGTTATTAAAAAAGATATAATTATATGATTACAAATAATTCTGTCAATATTATTATATATATTATTATTAATATACAAGTAGTATATATAATAATATGATATTATTATATATATATTTTTATTAGTAACGATATTGTAATAATTAAAAATATATAAAATATATAATATGCAATATATATGTGTATATTGTATATTTTATAAATTTCTTAATTATTATACACAATAATATGATTAATGTTATAATATTATAATATATTTCACAGTTAATTATTATGTCATTATTCAGTAAACATTATCTCTGATATCGAATATTACAGTATCCAATATTATTATTAAAATTATATTTAATTAAAACAAAAATAAGAAAAAGCATACAGCCATATACGCAAGTTGTTATTCGCACAAGTCACATTTAAAATTAAATTTCATGTAATTTTATTTTAAATATATGATTTGTGCGAATAACAACTTGTGTAAGTGGCTGTATGCTCTTTCTTATTTTTGTTAGCGAACCGTCTCTAATAACTTTGTTTAAAGTTTATTTATATTTAATTAATATCCGGAAATTTTTAGTGTATATTCTATTATAAGCAATAAAACATGTATGGTCCTACATTAAATGTTACATTTTTTACTTAAAAATGCATTGAATTAGAAAGTTATTATTCTATAATAGTATTACGATATAGCGTCAAAATTTGACTTCCATAGTTAAGAATATTAAGTTCCCAGACAACATAAAAAAAGCGACATAAGACGTCTTACAGACATCTTGAAGATATTTTTATGACATGATATCTAAAAGACACCTTGATGATATCTTCATGGATGTCTTATGTCCGCATTTTGGACATATTGTTTTCTGGGTTGTATTAGAATATGAAAAAAAGGATAAGACGAGCACAGCACATTTCAGCCTGTACTTTTATAAAAAGAGCGATCAAAAAATTCGTAGATATTGGAACACTATTGTTGCGTCCATCATATAAAATCAATTACATCTTTGCGCTTAAAAATTCGTGATGTCAATCAGGTTTCGTGTAAGTTCTCTCTTTTCCGAGAATACCATTCGTATAAAAAATTTCTCATCTGCCAGAAGACTTATTACTTGATCCTCGTACGAAGTAAAGCTTTAATTGGCAAAAAAACAATTATTATGTACATAAAAATATTTCGAATTAAATTCATATCGCGTTATTTTATAAGTTATATTGTAAATAATATATGTAATATGTTTAATTTATATGTAGTACGATAGTTACTTATAAAATAATGTATTAATTCGTTTTGTCGATATTTCAGAATAATGTACGAGAAAGCGATTACGTCTTAAGCATATTTAATGTGAGACAGTTCTGTGATTACATCGTCACATTAACATTAACATACGCACACTACACGGTTTTTTACACAATAACATTCAGTTAATTAATATATAATTATTTGTAATAATTCGATTAATCAGGACAAATATAAAATGGATATCAAGTAATAGTATTCTTCTTTACACAAACATTCATGTAGAATATTAATACTCAATGAGAAGCAAATAAGAGTACAAATGCAGCAGGAGAAAGCTACACGATCCTGATCGAACGCCGAATGAATACATAAGAGTTGTAAAGGCATGTAACGAAGGAAAGAGAATGTGGTCTCTAGTAGAAAAATATGTAACATTATTATACTATGTCACGTTTGAATGCTCTGTCTGCTCTTGAATATCCTTTTTAGTTTTACTTGAGTAACCCTTTTGTGGTATGATGTATGATTTCTCTTTTATCATAAAGATGCAATGATTGTATATGGGCTGCGTTTGAGTCATGATCGAATGTAACGATTTATTATAAGTAATGCAAAATAAATGGATGACATGCAAGAAATAAAAATAAAGTTTTTGCAATTTTTTTACTACACCTTTGCAAAAAAAATAACGAGCTGCGCAACACTAATTTTATTTAATTTTATTCACAATTTAATTAATTTATTATTATTAATTAATTAATTATTTATTTATTTTGTATAGATTTATATTTCTCAAATATTGTATTATAATTACTGTAATTAATTGAACAATTAAATTATAGTATAGTCATCATATCATATTAAAAAATTATTGTCACACAGAATCGATTATAATATAAACATTGGGATTATTATAAATTCTGGTTTATTAATAAAAATCTAATTTATTGTATTTACATATATTGAGTTTCTATACATATTTAAATATCATTTCTTTCTTATTATCAATCGTGACTAATTCCACTTTAACGGGACACTGAAGCCAATAACTCAAAAGTTCCTCGGTATAGCCAGTTAAGAAATATATCTTGTAAGGTATTAAAGTACGAGTGATGATTCCAGCTATCCTAATAATATTGTGTTGCCGCTTAATAATAATTTCACTTGCAAATAAATTAGGCCATGTTCCCCACATAAACTGTCGAATAAACATATCTTCTAAAGCTGTCTCAGAAGGTCTATTACCATCCTTTATATTCGCTGAAAAAATTAATGCTATAAAATTACAAGGAACCAAACATACATTTCTCATTAAAAAAGAAACATACAGGTGTTCCAAGAGTTCCAAGATTTTCTATGAGCGATGTAATGAGGCGGATTTGCCATTTCATATGTTAATGGTTTGTTTTTGTTGATTGTGATTTTGTAGCGTCCAGATTGCACTTTACTGACTATTGTACTCGTATGAAAATACCTTTGCATAAATGTCTGTTGCACAGCCGGTAATATCTGAGGACCAATAGTAGTAAAATTATTATTATCATACATGATTTTCGTACAAATGTAGTTTTTAACAAAAAATTTTGATATTTATACTGATGAAAAACTTAAAGAGAGGTTATCTCAGAAAAATTCGTCAGTTAGTTGACTACAACTACTTGTGGAGGTAAAACTTAATACATTTCTCATATGTTCCAGTAAAACCATCTTGCCACGCAATTTTTTACTTCAAATTTCGATTAATTTGTTATAAAATAATCTACTTCGTTTATTCCAGCTTACTCCGATGTTACAATAACATAACCAACATAACTGAAGTTAACGTCACAATTAGCATTACCAACATCGCCATCTGACATTCTAACCGACTCCGCCAGTCGCCACTACACTGCCACTAGTAGATATCTAGTATGTTATCCATCAAAAGTATTCGTGGATATGACTACATAGCTATATAGTTCACGTTCACGTTTTGTGCACGTAGAGGTGCTATCTGCTGAATGCAGCTAATGCTGAATACAGATTTTTAAAATCACTAAATATATATTTTGCTATATTTACTTATTATTAAAATATAATTGAATGCATTAACAATTAAATTATAATACAATCGTGATATCATGTTAAAAATTATTATGGTGTGCAGAATTATAATATAAATATTGAGAATTATTGTAAAATTTGATTTATGCAATAAAAATCTAATTTATTATATTTACATATATTGACTATATATATATATATTAGGTGTTGGAATTAATTCGTAGCGTTTTACAAGTGATGGGAAGTACTTTCATTAATGTATTTTTTAATGCTCATGTGAAATAAATAACATTCTTTCATTAAAAAACGTGACTTTAAAGGTCTCTCCAAAAACACGAACATGACTACTCTCTCTTTGGTACATACATATGATGTATGTTACATTCTATCTAGATACTCGTGTATCAATTGGCTTTTATATTCTAGAAATTAACTTGACATTGTAAAACAGCTGTTTTTGACAGCTTTACACTTGACATACATCGATACATCGCTAACACAAATAATAGATCGTACATTAAAAAATATTAATAAGTGATTCTGGATTAAAATTAAATTTCATTTAATGCTTTTTTCGCTACGAATCCAAGATTTCTTAGCATTCAGGAGAGATCTCAGCTTTATTTATTATTTTCTCTCTTTCGCTTGCATTGAAGAAAACTATATCCAAAAGGAAGCAGGATAAATTAACTGTACTACTACAACTCGTCCGTCAGTCTTCACAAATAATCACTGTACAATTTACAACTACAAGCGCTCGGCAATGCGGACAAGTTATATTCTTAAGATGGAATCTAGAACGAGGGAGATAAATCGGCGATTGGCTTTTGGTTTCATTCTCCGTGAGGAACAAGCACTTCTTCGACGTTTTTCCCTCTTAATGGCTTAGGCGATTTCACAAAGTAACAAAGAATCCCATCCCTCGCTCGTTCCTTCCCACCTACCCCTATTCGCCTCCCGAAATAATGCTGCAGCGAAACACACTGAGTCGGCTGGAGAACAGGATGAGAAACTGCATGGCTGCGATTGTCAGATCATTCCTCGAGCGCAGGGACGCATCTAAAAAATACAATATAAAAGATCATTACTATAAAGATTAAATTTCTTGGAAAATACAATAATAAAATTATATCATATTCTTCGTAAATATACTTACAAAAATTTCCCGCCATGATGAAGAAAAGTCGATGGCTTTGATAAATATTATTAGGTGTTGGAATTAATTCGTAGCGTTTTACAAGTGATGGGAAGTACTTTCATTAATGTATTTTTTAATGCTCATGTGAAATAAATAACATTCTTTCATTAAAAAACGCTACGAATTAATTCCAACACCTAATAAATATATATAAATATTAGAAATATAATAATAAGATACACGTGTAAATTAATTATTTAGTTGCATAACGCGTGAATATGCGTGTGTTGAAAATTATATTAGAGTAAGAAATGCATGTTTTAAGAGATTTCGGGGAGATTTTGTTCATACTTATGAAATAAATTTCGAAAGAAGGGGTTCATCGGCGTCTATAGCCTCCCCTTCAGAAGCGTCAACGGGCGCATGTGCGTATTCGTGAACAGCAGGTAGTTGCACGCGTACCAGAAGATGAGGGGAGGAGAAGGGATGGAGAGAGAGAGAGGAGCTTGAAGGGAAAAGTGGGCGGCATTGCGTGGTTAGAAAGAGAGAGAAAGACAGGATACTGTGATCTTATACGAAGAGCGATGAGGATAGAAGACTAAAGTAGAGTGGAACGTGTCGTGGAAACATGAAATATTGTGCTGAGAATGGAGAGATGGGGGCCGAAGGTACACACACAATTCTAGGATGACCCTAAGATATTCGTTATTGATATTTTTTTCATCCAAGATATGATATATGTGCGTGTACGTGAGAATTTTGTAGAAATTATTAACATACTTTTGTCAAACGCATTTTAATTTTGTGAAACAACCATTTTCCTATTTAATTCTTAATTCTTTAAAATAAAGGAGAGAAGGGAAATGAGAGTTTATTAATTAATATACATTACGACTAGTACACATGACATATATAATTCATCTTTCCTCTTTTTTTATCTTGGTAATTAAATTATTTTTATTTCTTCTTTAATTCTGCTGCGTAAAAATAGCTTCGATGATTCGTGAATGAAATGAAAAATATATATGTATCATATTTCAGTGTAAGAAGAGGAACGATTTTTAACAACCGCGATCGTTGAACGTTGAAAATAGATATTGTTAGCTTTAATAACTGTAGTTGTTTCGCGTTGACTTAAGTAAGATAGAACGATATAAGTTAATTCATCATCATTAACACAAGGCGATCACTCTGATAAAATTGCTCACGTAATGTCCTAAAGACGAGCTGTCACGCTACTGCGTACGAGGACAAAAAATATATTACGAGACCTTACAATATTACATTTAATGTTAGACATTTAACTATTATGTAAATAAAACAGAAATTTTTAATTTTTTACTTACACAGAAAGATAAATGTAAGATTATTTCACATAAAATATCGAGAACTTGAGTAGAAAAAGAGATATATTGTATTAAAAAACATACAAATTCATAATAAATCAATGAAGAACAGAACTGCGTATAAAAAATGGACAATCGTATGTAGCACAAAGAAGATTTTTATGCCGTCTGATCTCAATCGGATCGCAAACTCAGTGTTTATATACTCGGAGATTGTAAAAATGACGCAAGAAAAACAAAACAGTTCAAAATCACGAAGAAACGCATCGTGTAAACGCGCAAAAGGACATTAATGGAGATCTTAAAAATGGGAGAAAGAATGTCAAACGATAAAGAGAGCGGAAGAGATGCGTGAGGGAGAAGAAGAGCAAAGAGATGGAATGAGAAAGGAAACAGAAAAACAACGAAGAATGTAGTTGGGAGGGAAAAGTGAGGAGAGAAAGAAGCAGAAGGCCACCGAGTGACAGGAAGGACAAGAGAAATAGAGGAAATGAGACGGAATATAAGGGAGACAACAGGACCGGCTCTCTTCTTTCCATTTTGAAAGCAGATATTTTTATCAAGCAGGTTTTTTCATATTTTAATGCTCCAATCTGTTTTATGGATTTAAAACAGATATTTTATTTTATTACGATATTTACGATTTGAGTGTGAAGGAATTTCCATCGACAAAATATTATGTATTTACTATCCAATACATTATTGCGAATGTCCTTTCAATAAAAAATAAAACAAAAAAATTGCTGCACAATCATTATTATATTTCTACTTTCAATTTCTAAATTTATTAGAAATTTATTATCTAAGAAATTTATTATCTATCGTCTGATTTATTATCTATTCTATAAACTTATTTTTAGTTTCTCACGTTGACAAAATAACGAATGAATACAAATGAAATAAATTTAATTTTTAAATACCTTTTAATACCATTTGTATGTACCTACCATATTTGCAAACCAAAATAAGCTTTGTAACAAAGTCAAACACGTGCTTTTTCCATAAACATCTAGTGCCGGCCCTGGGAGAGGGAGCGATGGATAGAGAGGGGCGAACTGCTGGGTAGGGGGAGGGTGGCGAACCGAGTGGGGGGTCAATCGCACGGAGGAGAATCGCGATAGGAAGAAGGAAAGAGAGAGAGGAACCGACGGGATCGTCCGAAGGTGGGAGCGCGAGGTGTCCGAGCGACGGAGGAGAAGCAAATGTCCAAAGGGAGGGGGATGACGCATGGGGGTGGCGGAGCGCGCAATGTGCAGCGCGGGGGCAGGCGGTGGTCACGACTTGCTGGCAGTCTCGTTGATCCGGCTGCGAGCAGTACGCGCCGTGACGTGACAATGGCGGTAGTCGTAATTCCGGTACGGTGCGATACTGTGATCAGCTGATCAACCGAAGAGTCTCTGAGAGAAAAAGGGTTAGAGAAAAAGAGGTCGCGAAATCGAGAGCGAGAGAAAGAGCGCGTGGGCGATTCTTAAGGAGGCAGGCGTTTTCGACGAAGAGAAAAATAGCACGCGTGTACATCCGCTCGGTGTGTTGTGTCTGTGTGGCACATATGCGTGGGGTTCACACGACCGGTAGATAAATGTCTCTCAGTCATGCCCGCCGTGCGGAAGTACCGAAGGGATACCAGCGAGGTGAGCTGCTGCCTCAAGTACGTGATCTTTGGATTTAACGTCATGTTCTGGGTGAGTACCGCGCGAGAGTCGCAACATTCACTTTAGTCAGGACCTGCGAGATTTCGGATGTCACCTTGCCGGAGGCGACGATCCGTCATCTCCGAGACAAAAAAAAAATTTGCATGTCTCGTCACTGAAAACTCTCAGATAGCAAGTTAGAACTTCGCAAGGCACATAACTTCATCAGCCATTTAAAACTGAAGAAACTTTGAGTTTTATCCTAAAGAAATTCTGGTCATTACTTCCAAACAGATCTTTCGAACAGACTTTTCCCAGACTTTACCCGTTACGGACGTTGCCCGCAGGTAGATTCCGGATGTTACGTCTGGACACATCTCGAACACATTACTGCCGAGGGATATTTGAATATCGTCTTTAAAAAGAATTGGAGAATATTGTCTTTTAACGAAACGATATTATTCTTGATGAATGAAATCTGGATAAGACAGTTTTAACATAAAATCTCGTTAGCTTAAAAAAATTTATGATATTTTTGGATGTTACGTTCTAGAAATTATCAAACATTAATTTTAAAAAGGTTATAACTTCATTAAAAAAATGGCATAGAGCCAGAAGCAAGATTTGGTAGTTGTAAACAGTTCAGTAAACGTAGTAGTTTCTATGTAATGGAGTTCCTTTTAATTTATACAGGTTTCGCGCTTTACAAAGTCATTGTTAATTTTCTGTGTGCTTGTGCGAAAAGTGTAACGCGAGCGAACAATATATGTTTTAAAGATGGAGTAAAATTTGCGTTACCTTCCGCTCGCTTTTGTTTGCATCGCAATGAGAGTTTACTGTCGCGTTGCATCCGAGTCCTTTTTCACGTTCAAATGAAGTGTATCGCGTTGTTTGTTAAATGACGCTCATATGTTGTTTGAAAATGTTTATGGATCATGGCTACACACTATATACACATTCAAGGATAAAATACAGACTAGTCTTGCGTAAGCACATTTACGAAATCTTGACTAAAATACTACTTGTCTCTTGATTCACTATGCGTCGTCGTCCTTTGTGCTTTCTTATCTTAATGATGTTAAATGGCAAAGTCAGTGACGCGCGAAGCACTCGTTTCGTTCTTCCGTCCCTTCGTAAAGGTCTTTTCTTTTTCACAATAGAATCTCGTTAGAATGCGATTACATTTGTCACGTCAGTCGAAGAGTTTCCACGTAAAACATTATTGGACAATTAGACAGATATCAATTATTGATATCTTATAACTAAAGCTCTTGTTATTATCAACAGATACCTATAAGAAACGTAACTTTTATCATGTTAAATTATTCAACTTTTACATCTGATATATAGACACGTAAAGATTAAATCTGAAATTGAAATATTACTAGAATCGATCGATAATTTACGGTTTGTCCTATTATTGTTAATGAACGAAACTCAATATTGAAATAAATCCTTTTGTAACAAATACAAAAATAAATTAAATCTAATTATATCTTAAATTACAAATTACGGAACTGTTTAGTATTCAACAAAACTGTTTTATTATGGTCAGAGTAAACTTGTGCTAAATTAATAAATACTAATTAGACTTAATTAAATTTGTAATTTAAGATACTAGGTTTATTGGATCTTAATAATCTTACTTACAAATTTATCCTGATCATAACAAATCCGCTTTTTTTTTTACGCTCAATAGTTGTTTAATCTTCGATTCGAAAAAAACATACTCTTCGTATCGACTTAACGTACAATGATGATCACAATTAGTGAATCACCGATTAAACACGAGGTGTAAATATGGGCATTTTGGACATCGTTCGAATTTACCGTGAAGCTTTTGGGTAAAAGCGAAACGGTGCTTCAGAGAATCGATTTTTTTTTTTTTTCAATGGTGATAAACTTGTTTGTCGGCAGGGAAATTTGCGGGTCGCGATGTTGCATTTTTGCAGGGAAAACGCCGCGGACGACCCGCAATGCAGCTCGCGCGCGCTGCGAGGTGTCCCAATTGCGAGGACCGCGACGGCGCTGTGCAACGGTGCACGTGTTACGTTACGGTCTGCATATTGTTCCAACGAGCGCGGTGTGCATTAATTACAAAAGGTAGAAGGAGAATTTGTCTCGGTTCAACAAAGAGCATTCGAAAACTTAAAAAAAAAAAAACATAAAATAAGGTTTCCATTCTCTTTTTTTTTTCTTCATTTACTGCGATTTTAGTTGGAATCTACTTTGTGCTATCGCGCCGTAACCACGCGATTCAACGTACTCGAATTGTTGATTTGTCCATTAATCTTTGAGTAGTACAAATGTATATTTACGGTTTCAATTCCAGAGTGAAGCAGTATTTCTGTTTCATATTATATATTCCTAGTTTTACTTAAACCTACTTACTCGTATAATTGCTATCATTTATAATTATTATTATAATTTATCATTATTAAAGAAACTCACAGAGATGTAAAAAATCACTTGAAGGATTAAAATCGGAGGAACAACGAACAAAGCAGCGTCTACAATGAGATTTAAAGACGTAAAACTAAACTTTGAGCCAACCGTAAAAATTGACTCATAGTAAAATGTGAGAAGAATGATCGACTATGATAGATCAATTTCTCACGGCTTAAAGCTTAAAGCTAAAGGATTAAAATCGGAGGAATAACGAACAAAACAGCGTCTACAATGAGATTTAAAGACGTAAAACTAAACTTTGAGCCAACCGTAAAAATTGACTCATAGTAGAATGTGAAAAGAACGATCGACTATGATAGATCAATTTCTCACGGTTTAAAGCTTAAGTTTTACGCCTTACAATCTCGTTATAGACGCGAACGCTTTAAAGACGCGAACGATTTTTCGCAGAAAAAAATGCGTGAATCGATGCATATTGATGGCACACACACGACGTTCTCACGTTTAAAGGGGATGGTATGAGTCGGTTTCTCGTCAAACAGATTCAAGATTCCTTTTGCGGGATACCGTTTGCGTTCTCCTTTGATTTAGGTTCCATTTGATCGAACGGCTGTCACCCCCGCCGGTGGATAACGCGATCGCGACGGACAGTCGCGATAGATCAACAATAATCGCCACGCTGCGCGACCGCACGCTCCGTTTACACAAATCGTAATTTTATTTCACGTACGCGCGTTACGACACAGGGGATCCGTGCGACGCGCGTTACCACGTTTGCGAATTGATTTACGTGCCGTAAAATAGGCCAGTCTCGAGCCCGTCGCTTGGATTTCCGGAGCGAATCCTATTTCTCGACGAGACTTGCGTAAACCTTATTATATGCTTTCGGCGAGACACGAGACGCGAGATTTAAGATCTTCCTCGACATAGAGCCGACTTATCATCAACGAAGAGCTATCAATAATTCTGTAGTTAAAGAATAGACTTTGCATGAATTAGTATAATAGTTATCGTGACAAAAATTAAAAAATTAACAAAATCATAAATAAAATTGTTTAACGTCCGACGTCGATTAACAGTCGAATAAATGGAACTGCTTGCGCTCTGCGATACCGAATAGTGAAAAATGCGTACGAGTCCCACCAAATAGACTGCTCTTGGACTGGTTGAAGTAACCACACGGTAATGAACTCTGTGCGAGCTTATTTCACCGGGACGGATTAAAGGTGTTATTGATTTTCCTGCAGCCAGGCGGCTGGCTCGATTCGGGGTTTTCGCGAAATGTAGCACTGGCCTAGTGATATGTGGGAAGTTCTTCCTGCCAGGCACTCCGCGTAATTAAGTAGTGCGGTCGTGCCACGAAAGACTACGTTCATCTGAGATCCATTTCGCGATTTACAAACGAAAATAAAAAAAAAATACTTAATATTAATTGCGATCGTAGCAATTTATTTTTACCCTTGATATATTTTAATGGATTGAATTGGAAATGGAAAACGGAGTGTGTAAAAATAGCGTCTATAGAAAAGAAATAGAGACCATTTATTAAACGAAAAGTTTAATACTTAAATCAATAAATTCAAAACAAACCTTAATTTAAATAACAGATTTTATGTTTTTAAATTGTTTGCAATATAATAGCAAGTAATGATTAATTATTCATTCTTTTTTTTTTTTAATAGAGATTTAAGAGATTGCACATTGTTCAATTTATCTATTATATATATAATATTCTTTTATCGAGCCAATAACCAATTATCCATTTATCGAAATTTTCATACAGATTTTCATATATACAGATTTTATAATATAGAAAATAAAACGTAATATTTTTATTCACAAGAAAAGTGCTACGATTAAGCTACACAAATTGTGTACTATATATTGAGCGAACGCGTGAAAATCTGCGAAATCAGTTAATCAAGATTCTCGACTCGCTCTGAGCTAATAAAAGTTGCAACTTTGGTAGTGCGATCCTGATACTCTTTCGGCGAACTACAGATATTCGCCAAGGCCCTAAGTTTTGTAGTTCAGAAGTCGCGGTGAGTTAATCCGGGGACTACCAGTGTTTCTCGTGGTTCGTCTCTATGGTGATGTGGTTATGAGATATGAGAGAGAGATTGTGTGTATATTTTAGAAGAAAAAGGACAAGAGAGAGAGAGAGAGAGAGAGAGAGAGAAGGAAAACTTCGTTTTGAGAGAAACGCGCGTTTCGCACAACGCCAGGCTCGTAAAATTTTTACGCGTCGCTGAAAAATAATAACGACCGTCGCGCAAATAATTTCATCCTGCAGAGTTCTTCCTCCTGGGTGGAATGGTTTTTCTCGCGCGAGCGGAAACCCGAGCCGCTCTGTTCGTAAAGTTGGCGCGCGGAAAATGAAATACCGCGCGAAGCATTTATGGCTTGTCGGACGAGCGCGCCTCCAAGATCGTCGTTCGCAATCCCGTAACAAACTCATAACGCAATTTTTTCCGTACACTCGCCCGCCTTTTTCGCTCTTTGTGAAGGAAAAAAAAAATAGAATAAAACTCCTTCTGCATTTACTTTCCTCTTCGCGATTTTAATCGCTAGTTATCGGCCGATATTTCCGTTTCGATTGCTATTTGTCTCTAATTGATAATATCGTCGCGATATCGCACTGA